GGAAAGAGTTCAAGAGAGATTGTAACTTGTGAGATTGTCTTTATGGACTTGCATAAGCATGTCATGGTATTTTAGAGGGATACAGTGTAAATGCTATCTATCTATTTACTTATTTTTATTGTAATTGCGTGTAGGTTTTTGGAGTTTGGGTATGGTCGAAGAAATACAGTGAGTGAAATTTGGAGGTGGGGTTAAGGTTCCTTTCAGAGCTTGTCAAATACAAATAAAGAAAATAAATATATATTTTTCCCAAAAGAGTAATCTCACTGTTGTGTTTTCCAAGCTGCACTTAAAGTTAATATGTGAAGACTAAAAATAATAGTTAATAATGATATGGTTTGGGCGGTGTGCTGTATTTTATTCTTAAAAGAGTTTCAACAGAGGCTCTATTCTGGTAGTTATTTTTCAGAGAAAAAAGTTAAGTAGCTGTTACATAAACTGCAGGAGTTTTAACAAAATTGTTATCAATTTAGGGTTTTATCTTAGTAAATGTATTTATTCCTCCATATTTTATGAAACTATATATTCTACATTTAGTATTATGAAAAACTGTACTACGAACATCAGTGTTAATAGCTTAGTATTTTAGTCCTTCACAAATTAATGCCTGTGGTAACTGGATGATTTTAGGCCTGTTCTTATAAACAAGGCTTTACTGATGTGCAAGGAACAGTAATATGTGGCAAAACCTCCACACTAACCAAGGTAAGCAGTATAAATGGGGTGTAGGAATCCCCTGTTAGACTAAAAATCTCCAAGAGAAAATCTCCAGAGCCTACAAATTAAAGACCTCCAATATCATTTTAAAATAAAGCCTTTTATGTAGTAGGAGAGCATTTTTTCAGCTGATAATCAAATGACACTATTATGCAGGCTTACTAGATTTGCAAATTTACAAGTTTTTACAAGTCAGTTGGGTCCCTTCCTCAGGAAATCAGTTTAAGTTTTTTTTTCCTGTATTGACTCAAAGAGCCTGGTTGTCCTTAAATCCTTCTGAATATACTTGCCTTATAATTTGAAGGCATTGAGTCAACACCCTTATAGGAACAGTAATGCAATAAAAAGAGAAACTGTTCAATATAGTTTCCAGTTACCTTAGGATCAGATTTGGAGAAACTGGAATGTACACAATAAAACCTGTGCAAGACTTGAGTTCCATGTTGTTTTGGAAGCAACCAGTGCTTTTCAACATAAAATACCATTTGAAAGCTTTGCTCTGCTTCCAGTGGTTGTAAAATGATAAAAATGAAAATGTGCGTGATATGCATTTTACTTTTTTTAATTTTCTGAATTAAATCTTTGTGGGATTGAAAATTTCACATACAAATAACTAAGCATCAGTGGTTTTACTCAGTTAATTTTTTTATTATAGTGAATGTTTTCGCTCTACCATGTTCTGCAATAAAATTCTTTATAACTCATTTACATTTTTTACTTAGAAAAAATATGTAGATTCAGATGTGCTTGGTGAACTCTATTTTGTGAAAGTCTTTAGATTACACTGGAATCTCCAATATGCATTATGCTTGTAAACAGAATGCTCAAAATTTAGTTCTCTCTCAGGTTTTTGTATATAATTAGCAGTAAAGTTGTTACAAATTTCTTGTGTGTATCCAGAAATAAATTTGTCCTTTTTTTCAATATGGATGTGTTGCATTTGACCATATAATTTTAATTGTGGTTTCATTTTAGTTTTGCAAATAAAATTAATCTGAGGTAATTAGTTATTTTTATTTTGGCAAATGATTGTAAAAAGAAAGAAACTTGTATTTGCATACATCTGTAAAGGAAAAGTTTACATCTGATGGTTTCCAATGAGTAATTTCTAAGACAGGTAACTAAATGGGCTCCATTGTAGTAATTTTTCCTTTTTTCAACTTATTTTTAGTTGACTTGGAGCATATGCGCACAGTGAAAGTTGACAAGCACCAACGATTTTGTCAGGAAAACAATTTCAGTAGCCATTTTGTGTCGGCCAAGACAGGAGATTCTGTAAGTAAGAAAAATAAAATCCTTGTAGATGTCTTTGGTTTTTAAAGAAAGCCATTATCCTGGGATATGATGTAGCAGTTTTATTATACTTCACATATCAAGCCATTGAGAACTTTGGCTGCTGCAGGTCCTTTTTGCCTACTTGCTTGTGTGAAAAATAGATCTTTGTATAAGTGTATATGTTCTTTATTAATTACAGTGGTTTCTCATCTGATTTGCAGTTTGAGGTATAGATTTTAATATGGAAATGGTCTAGTTTATACATCAGCATGAGAACTGAGACCAGCTGGATCTCTGCTGTCAGCCTGTAGTTAAATGTATTCCTTCAGTCCAGGTTGAGTCCCAGCTACAGACCATCAATATAGAAACTTTTGGCAGTTGATAACGTCACAAGACCTTGTTGTGATCAAAGTTTTTAATACGGGTCCTGAGCCATGAGAGACACTTCCTCTGCAGGTCCACTGAAATTTGAACATTCTGGTATTTATAATTCTTTGCAGAGCACATTTTTGAACAATCTTTTGAGTCTGAGCTAACTGGGTTATTTGTTTTAGTTGGAAGCCTGTGGAAGAAAAGGTTCTATTTCAGTTGACTGTATCAGTCAAATTAAATCACACTGTATTGTTTTGCTTGCTTTCTGTCACATGCCTAATGACTTTGCCATTCCCCGAAGACAGTCCTGTATCTGTCTCCTATTTGTGACAACATAATTTACTTTATTTTTATGTTATTCAACAGTAAGGCCGTGTTCAATTATGTGGAAGTATAATTCTGTAACACAAATGGAATCGCTTGTTTTAACATCTTTGATGTAACTTCTACATTGCACTGCCTAATTTTATAAGATAATAGTTATTCTGTAAAGTCTAACAATACTACTGTTACAAATGCAGTGAATCCTGATTCTCCTTATGGTTTGCATCAAATCTTTGGCATAAATTTTTGTTTAAAGTGTGAAAATTCAAGTTTTTTATGCTAGAAACAAGAAAAAAATTATAATACTTCAGTCGATGAAGTGTGCATCTGATAAAATGTATTCCTTTCTCAAGGAGACAACCTTTTTGTGGGATTTGGTAATAGGAAGAAAAAGCAGTTCTTTTTGTAAGATTGATATATTTAACGTTACAAATTATGAAGGAATCTTTAGTGCATCTTTTTAATTCATTCATGAATTACAGCAGCATCCCACTATATAAACTGATTGTACTTTTTTTAACTTACTGTTTAAAAACAAAAGTAAATCTGAACATTCCTAGAAAGCATTAACCAGAAATCTCTTTAAATATCTACTAACAAAAGAAGGTATGAGGTATAGTTTACAGTAGTTCATTTTTAGTGTCAATATAGATTTGAATTAACTCACTGTTTTCACTGGCTTTTCAAAATGTTCATGTATTTGAATAGTTGTGTGGGAAAGACAGGGTGTTTACCCTAGACAGTGATTTAAGAAGGGGCCATCCATTGCTACTGTGGATATAGACTAGAGGAGTCTTAAATACTTAGTTAAGATAAATTAAGTGATTTGTTTTGTTCACCTCAGATCTTTCCAACAGACTCATTTGCAAAAGATAATTTTATGTACATAGAATAGTCCAAAAGTCTCCTCAGGGGAGAAAAACTTGAAAAAAAATAATGAAAGATTTAGTATAGCTAACTGTTTTACTGTCCATCAAATTGCATACCTAAAGCACTGAACTCGCACCTGATGTTTTGTGCACAAAGCATCCTCATGGCAGGTGATCTAGCTCAGTAGACCTGAGAGCCTGGTATGGGTTAAAGTAGGTCTCTGGAAAAGGTAAGCCTCTTCAGGATTTCCTTTCTTGCTGTGTGGATGCTAGTAGAATAGACCAGTACTAGACCAAGTAGTTCAGAGAAAGAGAAATTATTTTGGAAGCTACCGAGGCTTGTTGGTTGTGCCACTAATTCATTACTAGTTTCCATGTCAGGTTTAAGAAGAGGTTGTGTAAATGGTATTTTTTTAAATTTTCATCGAAAATTACTAAAAGCAGTTCCATAGGCGTTACCTTTTGGGGATGGCAGATGAAAAGTAATGTTTGTTAGTAGTTTAGATAGTGAGCTCAGTCAAATGTTTAAGCCAGGAAACATGAAATTGCTACTCTACCCTTAATTGGTTAAGTGGTGGACTTGGTAATGTTAGGTTAATGGTTGGACTGGATGATCTTAAAGGTCCTTTCCAACCTAAACGATTCTATGATTCTATAAATAACCATGTACATAAAATATAATGTGTAGCTTGACAATACAGTGTTCAGCAGCAGTGCAAGCTTAAGCTGCTCCTCTTTACCATCTGTTGCATTCTTTAATCTCATTTAAAATGCAGCTGCCTAAATAGTAAGATTGGTGGCCTGGATTGAGATGAAGTAAAGGAGTTATTTAAGATAGCATTACCACCCCATGTTATCTGTCAAACCATGTCCAAAGTCTAACTCTGCTAGGCTGGTGTGTGCTGTACACCATTTTGCTTGTTTCCTAGATAACTTCTGTTCAGTATAACGTTCGTAATGTTTTGCAAGACTCTTCAGAACAAATGTATCATTGCTTGGCTTTTGTATTGCTAATGCTTTTTGAACGTGCAGTAGAGATTTTGGTGTGATGTTGATGCACAGTTCTGTTGTTCTCAGTTTCAGAAACCTACATCTCTCTTGCACAATACACTGGTAAAATATTCTTGGGCTAAACATTAGTGAATACCCTTATTCATATTTTATAGCACTGAGAATAGTAATTGAGAGGTGGGTTGTGTAAAAGCTTGTTTAAACTTAGGTCTCTAGAGGCAGAGCAGAAGTGTTGCTTAACAATCCAGCATACTGCTCATTCCTTGTACCATTGTTGAGTTATTTTCTCCAATTTTTAAACAAAATTGAATGTACCAGATAAGGTTATTTTCAGATCTGTTTTGCAAAGGTCATAATTTTGTATATCTCATTGTTTACAGTTCAAGAATGGTTTGATGTATTTGAAAGAACCTCAAGAATGTCTGGTTTTAATCATTTAAATGCAATTTAATTTTTTTCCATAGGTCTTCCTGTGTTTTCAGAGAATTGCTGCTGACATACTTGGCATCAAATTAAACAAAGCAGAATTGGAACAATCACAGGTGGTTTTCCACAAATACATGTTTTTTCCTAGTATTTTATTTACTATTAAAAAAATAGTCTAGTTGCAAATTAATAACTGTCCTTTAAAGCAAGCTGCATCTGTTGTCCTGAAGACAATTATTTACTTTTGCAACAGCTTTATTTTATTATTATAATTCTTTATTTATCCATCATTATAAACTTGCTGAAACAAGAAAATGTATGTTCAAAAAATTAGGAAAAAGTTTGAGTGCTGCTTGTTTAAAAATAGTACTTAAAATTCTTTTAGAAATTAAAACCTCTCTATATGTATGCATATACAGGTATCATGGAAGACATTCATATATACATTAATTACTGTACATTGATGTCAGATACAGTTTTTATGATAATTGTTCTTTTTTAATTCTTTACATATTTAAAAACAAATTTCATTTTAGAACACTACAGATGTAAGTGGTAGAAGGCATAAGCTTCTGTGAGTGGAAATGTTCTAAATCAATCTTCATTGTAGTCATACAGGAAAAAATACTATTTGTCAGTCATACAGTCAGGAATTAACTGTCAAATCCTGTGTTTGGTTAATCTCAGATTTTAGTTTTCATTGTGTGCCTGTATAATACAGGACAAGAATACTTTCCTCAGTAGTGACTGTCTGCCTTGGGGAAGGAATATCAACTTTGTAGTCACTATTTCCCATTTTATTCTGAAGTGCAGATGAGAAATTAATTCTATTCTGGTTCAGCATACCCATTCTTAACAGCAGGCAGACCTGTGGAATCATGTGTTTGGGTGGCTGTTACGGCTCCCTGGCATCTGCAATTGTTTTTTCACTGTACTGGTCCCAAATAATCTCCCCCTAAAGGAGCTGCATAGTTTCTGCCCTTGCATTTTGTGTTTTGTTCTTTGCGTTATGAGTGTTATCTTGGGGATTTTCTGCCATTTGCTCTGCAGTAAGAAACGGCTGAGAGAGAGGAGAATGTTTCCCAGCAATAGGTAGGAAGGTCATCAAGAAGGTTGTGCCCCATTCTCTTATATTGGTTAGCAGTGAGTTAGGGATGTGAATATAGGGATTTCGCTGTGAACGCATGGCAAAACCCTGCTGCATGTCCTGCTCTGAACTGTAGCAGAGCTTTGTTGCAGTTCCTGCTGTTCAGTAACTAATGTATGCAAAATAGCTCTAATGAGTTTTATGACCTTATGAATGAGTGGGGAAAAGATGTTTTCACTGTTTTTAAAAATTTGAACTATATCTTAATTAAAATGTGAGTACTTGCTTAACTGTATCTACAAGAGTTGGAAGTCACTTAGATTTTGTCAGTGAAAGTTAGGAGATCCAATATGTGTTAATTGTTCAAATAAGCAATCAAGCAAGAGGTTTTCTAATATAACGCCTTTTCTGTTACCACCTCCTTCTTCCTAGTTCCTGCTTCTAAAAATAATTTTCCTGCCAGGAAGACTGTGTGCACAGGTTTAAACCAAAAAGATTTTATACAAACCCAGTTTCAGAAACCTCAAAAATGAAGATTATACGACTGAGGCAACCCTTACTGTATAATGACATTTGAGATTACAATACGCTCATTTTAAATTTACTTATTGAACCAAAAGGTAGCTAGCTGTTCTAGTGGTGTAATATCCTGGAACTGCTAGTTACTACCAACATTGAACAAGTACCACAAAGTAAGTCAACAAGTCTGTTCAAAAGAAAGTCAAAACATTTCTTATGTACAGCCTGGTCTCCTGCTTTTTGAAATATACAATAAATATGTAATTTCTGAAAATGTTTTGCCACAGCAGTGTGTACTGTCTGTGTTGAAGTGGTTAACTAGAAAACTGTATTGCAAACAGTAAAATGGTAAAATGTACTTATAGTGCTTACCTAACAAGCAAAGCTAAGGAGCTTCGAAGAGCTGTAATTTATAGGTAGAAAAATATTGTGTCTTTCCAATGATCTTTTACTACTAAGGCACCATCCATCTATTGTTCTGAGCTCTATGTTTATTTGCATATAGATAATTCAACACATAAAGAGTTCTTTAATTTTTCTTTGGTTGTTTAACTAGCACTGGAACATCAGTCTTAGACCTCTCTGTGCTGTGTGGTCGTGTGTTCCAGTAACTCAGGTGTAAGCTTGTAGACAGGTATGCAAATACCTTAAATTAAAGAGAGAATATGAGAAATGTCGTTATACAGAAAATTGTAGCTTTCTAAAGAAAGTGGCTATTTTTAGGTTGTTTTTAAAGCAAGAACCTCTATATAGCCCTGACTCAAGAGTACGTAACTTTCTATATCAAATTGATAGCAGCTTTAAGTAGGCTTCTTCCTACCTTAGTTTTGTAATTACAATTTTTAATTTTGTTGAGCAGATCAATGAAATATGCAATATGTGGATCAGACAAAGTCGATCTTATGCAAATTGCAGTAGCAATAGCCTATAAATAGTTAATATGCATAAATTACCCACTGTGGCCCACACTACTGTTAATGTGAATCCAAGCTATAGTGATTAGAAAAAAAAAAGATAAAAAACCCCGCCAAAAAAACAAGAACAACAACAGAAAAACAACAACAAAAGTAGAAACAAAGCTGGTAAATGGAGTTGGACAGAAAAGAAACTTCATTGTCCCCATTGAGGTACAGCAGAAGTCACTGTGTGGTGCTACACTGTGCTTGTAGCTGAAGAGTGAGAGCTGGAAAGCAGCTGCCTGACTTCGCAAGGTTCTGCTAATCAAGTGTAGCTTCAGTCTATTCTGAAACAAGTTGTTACCAGTAAAACATTTGCTTCCTTTCAGAGTGCTATTTTGAGTGGGCCATATGAATTGCCCAAATTTAAGTCAGTGAGAAACCAATAGGAATTGTATTGGAGTGTCTGTCTGTTAGCTGTATCTCAAAGTTCATTGTTAGATGGAACCAAATACCTTGGTCACTTCTTAAGACAGGAAAGGTAAAGTCTCTACATAAAATTTGAGGAGGAAAACTTTAACCTTCATATCCTCAAGGAGATGAATAGAAGGACATTTCTTGAGAGAAATTTATTAGTTTGCAGTGGAAAAGACTAATTAAAGTAATGTGTTGATGATGTTTCCCAAAAGCATGGAGCTGGTCTCTTAGCTGGAAGGAGGTGGTGTTAGATGATGATGTCATTACTAGGTTTCTGGTTTACCACAGACTTTTTGTGTGATAGGTACAGGTGCCTTAGTGTGGTGGTGGGGTTTTTTTTGTTTCCCCACCCCATCTGTAAAATGGACACAGGGCTTCCTTAAATTATGGAACAGTTATGTGAATGTGTTCCTTAAAATTTTTAGGCATTTAATACTCTAGCTATTGGACTGTAAAAGTAGATAGATGGATGCTAGATAAATGCTATAAAGAAACAAAAAAATACAATAGTAAGTGTGACTCATCCTTAAATCCCTAAGCATGCAAGTGTTGACTTAGGTTTAATTTTTAAACAAAGAGTAAAATACATTTTAGTTTTTACAAATGTGCACTATTTACACACTGGATTATATCTTTGAATTTTCCATATTTTGTGTAATGTGAGGTTTCCTAATTTTGAAAAATGAGAAGGTTTTTGCTTGAATGTTTGTCAGAGGACATCAGATGTCTTCATTCAATCTAGGTGGTAACAAAGTGTAAGATGAAATACTGAGTTTGTGTAAAATGACAACAGTGAAATGCTATATGTGAATTATGTTTTCTTATGCATTTCTTCATTATTACTGATTGTCTAATATTGAGAATACTCTTTAAAAATAATTTCTCACATTTTTTATTTTATGGCTGAAGATTGTATTTCTTGTGTTTAAGATCAATTATAATTGTCACAGTCACTAGGAAGATCTTAGAAGAGACTCAGGTGGTTAGAAATAAGTAATAGGAATCCCAAGCATATTATTTTAACTTGTATGAATTTGTGGGGCTTGCCTCATGACTTTTGAGCTTTGATGACAGACAGAACTGCAGAAGCTCTTGTGAAAAGTGGATGGGGGTTCTTGGTCCCCTTCAAATTAACAGCAAAACTTCTGTCAATTATCTGCAAGAACAAGCATTAGAAATGGAATTATTTACCATGCATTGTTTTAGAAAACAGCTGCAGCAGTTTAAGATATTAATGCAACCCAAGCTATTTGTTACTGCCCTTTTGCTGGAATTTATCGCTCCCACAGCAGAAACAGAAAATGGAAGGTGATCATGTGCCTTGGCCACATCAGGGTGAAGTTGAGCAGCTTAGCTTAAACTGCTGCTGAAAGCTGTTTTTAAGTGAAGCTGCCAGACTTTGTGCTGAAGCGGATGAGGTGCAAGTACACGTTACATTCCACCAGCCCTCCTTTGGCAGCAGTGATCTCCAGCAGAGGAATAGGACAGACATTTGGGGGTGGTAAGTTTTTAAACTATCTCAGCTAGAGCTACTAAACCTTGTCTGTTAACATGCTGAGATGACTGTTAATCAAACCTTTATTTGGTCAAAACTGTTGTGAAACAAAGAACTAGATTACTCTTTATGCGTGACTGGAAAGTAGAGCATGTTTTTGAAGTGGAACCATTCCAAAGTAAGAAAACTGCAGATTCTGACTTATTTTCAGTCCGCAAAATACTCTCCCTTTTAAATCGCAAGGGTCTGATGAAATTTGAGGAAATAGCTCCTTTACTAATCAAATGTTTTTCTTTCTATATTTTTTACTTTCAACCATAGTGTAAAACCTGCATGGGGTACAGCTTTGTTCCTTGGCATTGGCAAAAGCTAGCATTTTTGTAAGTGATGTGTAGTTTTCTCTTTAACTAAATGCCAGTTCAGCAAATTAGGGTGTGTGTGCGAGCTTTGTACAATAAAATGCTTGGCAGATAAAGTCAGATCTGGAATTCGGAGCACCTGCACCAAGAAAGGTTATTTCTCATTATTGACAGTGGTTTGAACCATGGAAATGATATGCCTGACATAGAAACTGACACAAAGAAGCCCAAGTTTTTAATTACCATGAAGTTAATAAAAGAAATGTTGCAGTGGTATTTTTTTACTTTTTTAGGGTTTTTTTTTTCTTAGTTAGATGAAATTCCTTTAGAAAATCCAAGTCATTTATGATAGTCAGTTTCTTGCTGTAGCATGCCTAAACATGGGTCACTAACCTGCCTGTGTTTACAGGATGGGATTTAGACCAGTGTTTTGAGGAACAATTAATTGCCTACTGATTGCAAGACTTTTTTTTTTCTTTCCTTTTTTTTTTTTTCCTTTGCTCTAGTCAAAACATTGGTATGAAGAAACTAGGTCCTGTGAGGTCAGATAACACTGTTTAATGCTAAAACTCCTACTACCGCCTCACATGGGATTTGCCAACCTTTCCCTTGATAACAGCAGTCCAGGAGTCCAGTAAATCATGAGTGTTGTCCACTAGATAAGATAATATGAATGTGATCAATTAAACTCAAGAAGAGTACATCAGCAGCTAATAAATCCAGATCCCTTACCAGCCAATTCAGTTATTGTTGCTTGTTTGACATACAGGTTTTATTTACAGAGGTAATCTTTAGCATATACTGTTTATATATTCATATAATCCAGTTTATATATCATTTCCTTTAAAATAATAGTATTTATTCATTTATCCCTTCATTTTAACATTGAAAATATGTTGTGTAAAAGTTGAAGTATTTAAGAAAAAAATATTAAACCGGTCTAGGGTATCTTTTATAGCAGACCCACCTCCTCTGTTACTTCTTTGCTGAAATTGTTCTATGAATTTTTCTCCCCTTTGCACGAACACTGTATTAACAGTGAGAAAACTTTCAACAGTTTTGTTTGTCTTTAAGGGGAAAAATGAAAGCCTTTTCTTTTTATATGAAGTAAAGAAAAACCAAAGCTTTGCAGCACTTAGATGTGAGGTTGTTAATTTATGTCACTGTTTTTGATTATATATTTAGTTACAATGTGATAGTTATGTAATGGAAAAGATGCATGTGTACATCTAATGCACTTGTTACAATTTTCGGTAGGAAGCTGACTAATGCAATATTTAAGTACCCTAGCCTTAAAGGGATAGACCATTGCCATCTTTTCCTCCACTGAATTTCCTTCCTTTTTATTCTGTCCCTTCTCTTGCTTCAATACGCTTTCATTGCTTGCACTTACGAATATTTCACTGTGGTGCTCCGAAAGGGCATGTCCTTGAAGAAGCTTGAGAAGCAGCCCTGATGCTGGTAGTGACACTTTCAGCTAGACATGTTGCTCTTGTATCAGCATAAGGCCTGAAGAGAAATGCACTTTCATTTTGCTTCTGCATAGTCTTTTTATGTCATTCATTCATTCTTTTCAGCAACTGATCAATCTCTCAATTTTTTTTCCTTCTCTTTTCTTTTTACATTCTTCTCCTTGCCCTCAATCCATTATGTTGATACATGATTAACAGCATGTTGTCAGGGCAGAACTAGTGAAATATCCTGAAGAAGATAACCAACGTCAGAACACTTCCAACTGCCAGAGCAAAGTCTGCTCAATGCAGTAGTTCAGGTATTGATGGAAAACTTGGGGGTTTTTTCAAGCTGCATTGCTTTTACATGACGTAACAACTGTTAACAGTGAGTTCTATTGGAAAAATATATTTTGTATCTGTAAGCACTTGTGATACTTAACATATTAATTTGGAACTCTGTGTACAATTACATGGTGTTTCTGATAACCAGATAGTTCATAGAAACTTTGAAATACTTCATGTTACTGTATTAGGAAGGTCCTTCAGTGCTGTATGTTCAAAATGTTACATAGCTGCCTCAGATGGAAATGGACACAAAATTGGAATCTCATTTCCTTCTCATGTAGGAGAGACCAACAGTCTTATCAAATGCTTTGTAAATAGAATGGGTAATATCCATTGGATCTGTATTAGAAAATAAATATTTATGGTATGCAGAGGTTCTTTTTATGTTAATTTAGTCCTTAGTCAGTCTGCCTATCAAAGCTTTTTTGAAATATGGTTGTATTTGAAATTTGATTTGAATTCTGTCGATATTTTCCTGAGAAGTACTTGGAGTAAAGATAGAAAGACAAACTTACGTACAGTTTCCAATTACAATTTATGCAGTTACTCTTAAAGAATGCATACCATAGTCTTTGTAAACAAATACTGTTTTATTATTTCCACAGAAATCAATTTTCATGGAATTAAAACTGTATTCATTGCTTTTGCAAAAAAGTCATGTTCTATTGGTAGTGTGAAAACCTACCAAGGCACTTCCTTCTGCTTAGTATGGATAAACTGGTATTTAGAACGAGAATTAGCACCTGATAAGACTTTCTGTGAGGTGATGAAAAAAAAAAAACCCTAAACAATGTCTGTTTTGCCTAATTTTTTTTCCCTTCGTATTTCATAGTAAAATATCTGTTGAAAGCTTTGCCAGCATGAGATGACATTTTCTGATTGTTACTCTGTTTTCTTTTATGACAGAGGGTGGTGAAGGCAGATATTGTCAACTACAGTCAGGAGCCTGTGACAAGAACCATTAATCCCCCTAGAAGCTCAATGTGTGCAGTTCAATGACCATGCTATTCTCCTCTGTTTTGATACCTTTGGCGGTCCTCCTACCTTGACACAGCCTCTGGGATTACCAGGAACTTTGTTTTAACAGTGACCATCGCAACAATGCAATTAGAGGTTTCAAAAACATGTTGCACCGTTGTGCGTTGAGAAGCAGCAGGCAGTTTTTTGACTGGCCGAAATTCAAACATGAGACCACACACTTTGAAAAATTAAGATCTGTATTCTTTTAAATTATATTTAAATAAAGGAGTATAACTGTGTTTATATGTTTCCTCCTATCTATTTGACTGATACCAGAATAAACATGGATGAAGAAGTCCTGCATTTAAAATACTTTTAGAAACATCATCATGGAAAGGTATTTTGCCAAAGCATTTTTTAAATTTAAAGCATTTTTTAAATCCTGTGATCTGAACTGACACTCAGCAAAATGTAACTTGGGAAAGCTATTGCTGGAATAATTTTAGGCACGTAATATATTTTATCTAGGGATAGAATCATAGAATCATAGAATGCTTTGGGTTGGAAGGGACCTTGAGAGGTCATCTAGCCCAACCCCCCTGCAGTGAGCAGGGATTGAACCTGTGACCTTGGTGTTATTAGCACCACGCTCTAACCGACTAATTTGGAAGGTATTCCATTAATATATATACACATAGTGCAAAATGTATAAATTGTATGTAGTAAGAAACAGTGCTTGAGATAAAGCTGTAATATAAAAATAGTTACTTTTCTGAAGTCTCGAGCTGTCTCCATGAATGCTCTGAAAAATGCTCGTGGTTTTGTGTATTTTTATTACCACATCAGCATTACTTCTTGCAGTAGTAGATATGCTCATACGTCTTCATGAATATGGATGAACCTCAGTCAACAGTTTGGGCTGTAAATGTTGAGTGATATATTCAGCATGCATTAGAAACTGTTGATAGATCAATTAGGATCAGTCATTTTTAATAACTAACTGAATGACTTTTGGCCTGGTACTTTTTTTCTAGTTCAGAGTAAACAACAAATAAAAAGCTGTCTGCTCTGTGATCATCACATCTCTCCTCTGTTCCTTTTATAACAGTCTCTTTTAGACATGCAGTTCTCTGCTGGTGCATCTGAATAGAAAGCTAAGGAGAGAAAAAAAAAATTGAGCCACTTGATTCCAAACTAGAAAACTTTCCCTGTTTTAACTCTAGAAAGTGTTTTCTTATAAAATACAACAAAATTTGGAGATTTAGGAAATTAATGAGGCTGAGTGAAGGAAGCTTATATATCACAAGTGAAAATGATAAGGTCCTTCAAGTGAGTGTTCCTATTAAGCTGTTCAAGCAAGTGCTCAATAGTTGGAACTATTAAACTATTAATAGTTTAATAAGATATTTTAACTATTTTAACTATGCTAAAAAAAAAAGATTGCAGATGGCAAAAATGTGCTATTTGTTATTATTTTGGTATATTCCAAGTTCATGAAAAAGCTAAGTTCATTTTTAAACCATTCAGCATGCAGTAGTTTTATAACTACACAGCAATGACTTAGTGTTGTAATATTTTGTCATTCAAATGTGGGAAATTCTAAGAAACAAGCTGAGATATTGAGAAATTATTCTATGCTAAGGTAGGTGTGAATTAGCAGTAAATTATTTATTCTAGGTTTACAATCTGTGGTGTTGCTCCTGTCCCATGGAGTTCGTGTCCCACTGCATAGCTTTACTTAAATGCAACTGAAAGGTGAACCAGCTTCCACTACCACCAGATGAGAACTTCTGTTCAGTTTTGCTGAAGTAGCTGGTAAGTTTACAAGTTTATGCCCTCCAAAGCATGTGGTAAGGTTTGTTTTGAACCCTCAGATTTCTTGCGTGTTTGTGTCCTAAACTCTGCCTGTGTGTTCAAATATTCATGAGAACTGCCCCCTCTCTGAGGAGCTGGCACTACCTGGCTCAGCTAGGTGGCTGGGGCCGTCTTTCTCTAGTGCATCTGAGTCAACTTCATAGTGTTGCTTCCCAAGTAATAAGGGGCATGGTCTTAAAGACGAAACGGTTCTGTAATCTTTAGAAGAAAATGCTTTTTCATAACTTGATACACAAAGCCCATTATTACCCTGCATAATAAAAAACTTTTGCTTTTACGTTTGGGGTAACCTGCAGAATGAAGGCTGTGATATGTGTCCCAGTCCAAGCTATTCTGCAGATGGATCTTATGTCTCTGTCTCATCACAATCTTTTATTCTCAGTGCCTGTTTTTCTAGCTGTCTTTTGACTTTTACATCCTTTTGTGTTTTATTCCCATTGATCTTTTCACCATTTTCTATGTTAAAGCCCTACCTCCTCTGAAGATATTTTTGTTTACATTTCCAAGCTGCTCTCATTCTTCCTCCCTAACATACGTGTATATTATTTATGCTAACCAGGAATCTCTTGTCTTCTGTGCCCCCAGCCCCTCCTTTTGCTGCCCCTCTTAACCTCCTCGGGTTTTCCGTATTGTATACTGACTTCC